CTTCCTGGCGAGCTAGTCACATTCTCAAGCTCACCCTCACTATTTCACTGCCAGTCACCAAGGACTTGAGAGGTTCTGAATGATACTGAAGGCGGTGGCGGGGTAGAGTGGGGATAAGGTGGGGCCTAGGGAGGGGCAGCAAGGGAGAATCTCCAGACGAACTGGTCCTTGACTGACATCTTCCCTGTTTCATGACACCTTTCTGAGGAATTCAGTAACATTCTATAAAATTTGGCATATATGAAAGAGTATCAAGATACACCTTGGTTCATTTCACAATTTATTTTATTCTTTATTATTATTATTTTTTATTTTTTTTGTTTTGTTTTGTTTCATCATTTCACAATTTATTCTGGTATTTTGAAACAAAATGGTAGCCAAAAAGGAATTTCAAAAGTGTATCCTGAAAGCAAGACAGCATGGGAAAGTGGCCAGGGGCCAGGGAGCAGCAAATCTCCAGGCAGGGAAGGGTACCCAGTGACTAGGCTGGGGTCAGGACAGCTGCACCTCCTGGCCTCGCCAAGGCAGGCCCTTCCCGGTGCTTTGCGTTGGGAGCACGTCCGTAGGTTGGTAGCCAGGATGAATTCATCAGCGTCCTTGCCACTGAGGGTTGCAGAATAAAGGTGAAGAAGGCCCCACGTGGTCCTCAATGAGGTGACAGCAGGTACCAGTTCAGTGTGAGCACCTGCCACTGAGGGTTGCAGATTAAAGGTGAAGAAGGCCAGCCTCACGTGGCCTATGGTGAGGTGATGGTGGGGACCAGCTCAGTGTGAGCATCACCTACAGTTGGAGCCTTCACGTCTCCCACAGCAGAGCTGCAGTGGACCGATTCTTCAAGACCCCACCTACCTGGCTGACGTGGCCATAGGGGCTCTGTTGCCCTTCTAGAAACTTATCTTTAAGGGAAAATCCTTGAAGGATATCGGACAGCCATTGTCAGGATTTGGAATGCAAAATAACTGCCAGGTCGTGAAAACCGGCACAAAGAATAGGGTCTGGAGGCCAGGGCTGAACTAAAGAAGCTGAAGGATTTAGAGAAGCCTGTGGAGAAGACAGCCGACTACACAGAGAAGGAAAGAAAGAACTCATGGTGTTAATCAGGCTTTTCTGGCCAAGGATTTACCATCTGAAACTCTCCACAAACTTGACAGGAGAGGAAAGCAACAGCTGAACAGTTAAGAGGGGATGATCCACAGACCAGTTCTGCCCCAAAATTTCAAATATGAAAACCAAAAAGGAAGGAACTCGGGGAAAAAAGGCTCAAGCATTCCTATCCAATCACCACCACAGAGCGCAGCATCTGCCAGAAGACACAGGGGCTCCAGTAGAGGAGCTCGGCCCTGGCTGAGTTCGGGTTGAAAGGGGCTGCGCTGCCCTGAGCAACAAGGACCTCCAGCCTTGTCCTCCACGGGACAGAGGCGCTGACAGTTGGCCAACTGCCACTCTGATAGTCCTACATCTGTGTTTTACAAACAAGCATTGTCTTTGAAAACTTAAGAAAGCTCCTGACAGTTTTTCGTGGTCTCTACGTGGTTACCTAGTCTAGCAGCCTCAGCTTGTCCAGAAGGGCCTTCCCTGCCCTCGTTCCCTTAGCACTTCTGGCCTTCGGGGGATTTCCCTGGACAGGTGAGAACTCCATTGTGTCCTGGGACAGACTCAGTTTCACAGGCTACCCTGGTCCTCAGATACAACGGGGCCATTTGTTCCTCCATATCCTACAGCTCCCTAAATGTAAAGGAAAAATCACCAGGATGTAGGGCCCAGCCAGCAAGTGTGAAGAATGGCTCAAAACAAGCGGGTGACAATCATGTCCTTCAAGCACCCTTCACTGGGACCTATTTCTCACCCAGTTAACTGGATTAGCAGTTCACAGAGCCTGTCCCAATGCGCTCCTGACCCTGCCCAGTCAGAGGCCATGGGAGCTCAGAGGGCTACTCCAGGGTGGGGCCTGTGCTCAAGGCGAAAGCTCATGCTCGTCCCCAGGCAGATCCCTGTCAGGCTGAACCCAGTGCTGCACTGTGTCTGTTTGAAACCAGGCAGAAGCATGGCCTGGGAAGGTCAGAGAGGAGAGCTAGCAAGAAACGGGTTGCTAAAGCCAACCTCATACTTCTCAGGAGAAACGTTTGATTCCTTCAGTGGAATTTCTGCTCCCTATTTCCTTTTTTCTCTTTTTTTTCTGAGACAGTCTTACTTTGTCACCCAGGCCAGAGTGCAGTGGTGCAATTGCAGTTCACTGCAACCTCCGCCTCCCAGGCTCAAGCAATCCTCCTGCCTCAGCCTCGCAGGTAGCTGGGACTACAGGCATGCACCACCATGCCAGCTAAGATTTCCTTTTCCGACTTGCACTTTCTTTAAGGCTATTTTTATCTGTTTTGTGGCCTGTTTTTTCCCTTGTTACTAAAAAGAAATCAATACTGAACATGAGTTAGCAAGCAGAAGTATACATACTTTTGATTTACCAGGTAGGAAAAGAGTGTTTTGTGATTTCAGTTGCCCTTTATTTTAGTGAAGTCGTGAGTGGCCCAAGTAGGCAGGACCTTGTGGTCTGGCCTCAAAATTGGGCAGCGCCACCACCCCCCTGCAGTCCAGTGCCTGAAGGACCAGCCCGATTCACCCGCTTCACCAACTCTGAGGCTGGCCTCATGGGACAAAGAGGGAATTCCACTGAAGTCTCAGGATTTTAGGACCAGGAGGGTAGGAGCCAGGGAAGGTGGCAGAGGTGAAGCGTGAACAAGTGAGCAGGATTCCAGGTCCAAGTCCTAGCCTGACTCCCCACTTCAGTCACAGTAGCTCAGTTTCATGTTTTTACACATTAGCTCTGTGACCTCACATACATTTCAAATGAATGTGGCACCTACTTCCTGTGGTTGACGAAGCAGAGTGACTGACTACAGGTAATCGCACCTATTACAGTGAGGGTCACCGAGCGGATGTTCAAAGCATGTTACCTATTCTTGTGTTCGGATTCTACATTCAATTTTCTTTCTCTTTGAGATGGAGTCTCGCTCTGTCGCCTAGGCTGGAGTGCAGTGGCACAATCTTGGCAGGCACCCACTACCATACTCAGCCAATTGTTTGTATTCTTAGTAGTGACAGGGTTTTGCCATGACAGCCAGGCTGGTCTCAAACTCCTGACCTCAAGTGATCCTCCCACCTCAGCCTCTCAAAGTGCTGGGATTATAGATGAGCCATTACACCCAGCCACTGCATTAGATTTTGTCAGAAGAAACGATTTGGAGATCACTGATTTGGCCATCTTTCTCATTTTAAAACAACTGAAAAGTAACTTTGCTAAAGCACACAAAAAGTATGTAAATGCATTTGTATAAGAACGTTTCCAAAAAACTATGCTTCTCTACCTACTCTCACTCCAACTTCCTTCTTAGAGACCGCTACTGTTATTTCCAGACACATTTATGTACATAAACATGCTTTTCATTTTTTCCATAAAAAATTATATGTACCATAAAAGAAATTATATCTCCCAAAGCGCTGGGATAACAGGCATGAGCCACCGCGTCCAGCCCCTAATTCTGTCACCTTTAAACTGCTGTATAATATCTCACGGTAAGGATATGTCACAATTTAACAGGGAAGGCAGTTCACCACATTACAGCAGAATCAGGACAAGGCCGCAAGTCTCTCTTGACTGCTGGTCCAAGGGTTCTGCTACTAAATCACTCTGCTTCTCTACTGTTACCAGCAGTTTTTTTTTTAAAAAAAAAACCCAAATCTAGTTTTAAAAAAAATTCAAAGGTATGATTCTCTCAACTTGGATTTCTTCTTCCCTCCCTCCTTTCTTCTTTCCCTTTCCATTCCAGCCTGCATGAGTTCTGTGTATACTTTGCATGACTCGAGAAGACACATGAATCAGCTACAATTCCTGCATTCAAGGAACTCAAAGCCTGTGCATATGTAATAATGCAAACAGAAATTACTATAAAATAGTCACTTGGTTTCCCTGTGGAAAGGAAATCTAAAGAAAGCATACTGATGTGTTAGCAGGGATCCTGCACTTCCAGAAAGAAAAGGTTTATTCCTTTGTTTCTTTTCTTTTTTTTTTTTTTTTTTTCTAGAGATATTGTATCACTTTGTCAAGCCTCAAAGCTCATGGCGGCATCAACTCTTGATGCTATGCGGTCCTCCCGCCTCAGCCTACAAGTAGTTAGGACTACATGTGTGCGCCATCATGCCTAATTTTTTTTAAGTTTTTTATAGAGATANTTTTTTTAAGAGATAGTGTATCACTCTGTCACCCATCATAGCTCACTGCAGCCTCAACTCCTGAGCTTATGCGGTCCTCCCGCCTCAGCCTTCAAGTAGTTAGGACTACATGTGTGCGCCATCATGCCTAATTTTTTTTAAGTTTTTTATAGAGATAAGGTTGCTATATTGCCCACGCTGGTCTTGAACTCCTGGTCTCAAGCAATCCTGCCTCGGTCCCCCAAAGTGGTGGGATTACAGGTGTGAACCACTGCATCGGGCCAAAAGGAGGAGGTTTCCAGAGAAAAATTTTGGACCTGGGTCTCTGACTACACAGAGATGAAACATTTAACCAGGAGTAATATGTTCCACCTTTCCAATGGAGGCACACAGTTCCCAGACCCGTATACCTGGCTTTGGGGTTTTCAGAGACTCTCTGACCTAGTTTGCTCACCAGAGATGTTAAAAGGCAAACCCTAAAGTAAAAATATATCCCAATTGTAACCAAATTTGATAGCTGATAAAGTAATAAGGTATTTCTGACTGAGTAAGGCCTCTAACAAAACTACTAGTCTGTAAAATGGGATCAATACTTAGAAAAGATGATGACAGGGCATTCTAAAAGCATGAAGTACTGCATAACAAATAATAAATCCATTCAGAGTGATCTGTACCATCACTTTTCCTATCAATTCAGTTAAATCACTGGAATGAGGGATTAGGCACTGAAGCCAATGGATAGAACTGTCATACAGTGAACGCGTGGAGTCGCCATACAGTGAAGCCAACCCACTGACTTCATGTTGCAGACTCCCTTGGGAAGGTCTTACCAGGGTCCCATCTGTCAGGGTGCAGCCGGAGAAGCGTTTTGCAAGAAACCCCTCAAAGTTAGTTGTTCTCTGAATAGCAAAAAGAAGCAACTTCACTTCAATCTCCTTTGCTCTGGTCCGCATAATCTTGGCAAGTTCTGTCCTTCAAAACAAAGACATAAGAATACTATCAAATAAGCCAATCATTCATTCGAGATAAGACAAAGTAAACGGCCTTAGCTTATATTCAGAGGAAAAAAATGTATGTGGTCATTTGGAACCCTGAGGTCTGTTATCAGCTTGGTCTAAAACCTGGGGAATACAAATACGTGTTCTAAACAAGAATTTTAAGGTGAAATTAGCCAGCAGGCAAACAAATCAGGGATTATGAATGCTTTTTTTTTTTTTTTTTTTTTTTTTTGAGATGGAGTCTCCCTCTGTTGCCCAGGCTGGAGTGCAGTGGAATGATCATTGCAAGCTTTACCTCCTGGGTTCAAACGATTCTCCTGTCTCAGCCTTCCAAGTAGCTGGGATTACACCACACCTGACTATTTTTTTGATATTTTTAGTAGAGATGGGGTTTCACCATGTTGGCTACACTGGTCTCAAACTCCTGACCTCAAGCGATCCGCCCACCTTGGCCTCCCAAAGTGCTGGGATTACAGGTGTGAGCCACCGCTAATCTGTTCCCATGGTTACTACATTGCCTGTTTCTTTAACCTGTTCAATAATTGGATAATAATACATATGGAGCACCTAATTTTTTACTAGTGTATATAGCCTAGATAATTTCACAATTCATGAATTACTGAATAACAAAGCCCTCCCTCCTCCTGAGGGCCCAATAATCATCTTTTCAACTAGACAGCAAGAGCCCTGGAAATGTACGCCAGGGACAGGAATCCCTGTGAGAAAGTGCCAGCAGGCTTGGCTGGCCCCTGCCTGAGGCACTCATGTGCAGCTCTCTCAAGTATAACGTTTCAGAAGGTCAGCTGCTAGTGAACAGCGACATGTGAGTTCTTAGTAAGGACTAAGCTATCATCATCTTCCCACAAAAATACATGACAAAATCAAACCAAGGGTCTCTGAGTTTCAGAATGATCTATCTGTAGGATTTTAGCCAAAATTCTAACAATAGAAGCTTGGCAGCAACACTGCATTGGCTGAGACAACAAGAGCAGGTACCGGTGATGACAGAGACGGTGGGTTCTAGCATACGCCCAGTCTCTTTCAAGCTTCATTCCTCACAGAGCTGCTTTTCAAGTCTGCTGAACTGTGAGCTAAAAAGAATTAGCTAACGGTTTCTCAAGGAACTCACTCTTTATTTTGCTAACTGGGAATCAGAAGGGGACAATCTCAACTGATTCTAAACCAGTGCTAAAAGGTTCTCTAAATCTACAGGAGTCAATGTGTTTCTTTTTCTTTCTCTTTCTTTCCTTTTCCTTTTTCCTTCCTTCCTTCCCTCCCTCACCCCTCCCCGCTTTCTTTTTTTGAGAAGGGTCTCACTTTGTCTCCCAAGCTCGAGTGCAATGGCATGATCATGGCTTACTGCAGCCTTGACCTCCTGGACTCAAGCAATCCTCCCATCTCAGCCTCTCTAGTAACTGGGATTACTGGTGCTTGGCAACATGAACAGCTAATTTTTGTATTTTCAGTAGAGGGGGGATTTTGCCATGTTGCCCAGACTGGTCTCAAACTCCTAGACTCACATGATCCACCCGCCTTGGCCTCCCAAAGTACTAGGATTATAGGCATGAACTGCCGAGCCTGGCCCAATGTGTTTCTTATAACAAGAGCCACAAAGAATGGAGCTGAGTGCACCTGCAGTTGCAGCTGCTCAGATGGCTGAAGCAGGCAGGTTGCTTGAACCCAGGAGTTCAAGGCTGTAGTGCGCAATCACCACGCCTGTGAGCAGCCACTGTACGCCAGTGTGGGCAACACTGCGAGACGTCCATCTCAAAGCCACAGACTGTATGCTAACACCAAGCGTGAACACTGGCATGAACTATGGACCTGGGTGATGATGGCGTGTCAGTGCAGCTTTGCCAGCTGTGACAGACGCACCACTCTGGTGAAAGGTGCCAACCACAGAGGGACGAGGCAAGGGGCAGGAACACATGGGACTCTCTATCTACTGCTCCACTCTGCTGTGAACCTAAAACTACTCTAAAAATAAAATCTACTTTTAAAAAAGCCAGTATCCCTTAAAACACTTTTTCCCCACAATGTGTTTACAACATGCAATTTGACTGTACTTTCCACGATTTTAATAAAACAGACCACCATGAATTATGGTAAGGTGGTTGAGTTATGCTTAGATATGGGCTTTTTTCTCTTATTAACCTGGAGTTAAACGTAACTGTGTACTACTGGGAGGAAATAAATAACTAGTAAGAACCAGTTACCAATACAGTTGTAGTACAGCTAGAAATAAAGAATAAAAAAGTTCAAGACCAGCCTGAACAACATAGCAAAACTCTGTCTCTACAAAAAATACACACATAAAAATTAGCTGGTGTGGTGGCACACACCTGTAATCCCTGCTACTTGGGAGGCTGAGGCACAAGAATCACTTGAACCCAGTAAACGGAGGTTGCAGTGAGCTGGGATAGTGCCACTGCAGCACTCCAGCCTGGGTGATAGAGTGAGACTCTGTCTCAAAGAAAAGCTCTATTAACTATCCAGAGGCTATACACACTGTATTAGGAATGGGAAATTCATTTAACAAATGTTTCCTTAGTGTCTGCTGTATCATTAAAATAAATACTACGCCTGACTCAAAGGAACTGTCTATCTAGCAAATCAGAAAATAAAAACGATGATGGGATATATACACAGCACACTGATACATGCGAAACCAATTAGGGGAAAACGTGGGGTAGAAGAATCACTATAGGTCGATCCAGTTGATAAGCCTTCAGCTGGTGAAGGTAGACTGAGGTAAGAACCACACCAAAGGAAAGTCCCAGAGCAAAGACGGGAGCAGAGGAGAGCAGCCGAGGGGCCACAGTTGGGTATGAGGATGGTATTAATCATCTAGTGGGGTCTGGAAGTGGCAGTGAATCCACAGGACAACATGGAACCACTAGAGTCTGGGGGACTGATGGTGAAAATTCCATAAACAACAGAACCAACAGAGAATTGGCATCTACCTTGTTACATGGCAAAATTCTATTGCAATCCTCTCAGCCATGTACCACTCACGTGGAAACATGCGGCCGTATTTCTCCTCATAGTCCACAAGCTGGCGTTTTATCCAGGCGTAGCGTCTGTCGATTTTGTCCAGCCAGGCAACCTGGTGAAGGTGGGGAACAGAAACCACCCCATGGTTAGAAGCAGAATTGGAAGTTTAAGGAAACAAGCAAACACAGAGCCAGGCAAAAGGGAACAAATCTCCGTATTTCTCATGGCTTTAAAGAATCTGGGCTACGTTTTTACTTGATTTTTAACTTCAAAATCCAGAGGTTTTTAACTTAGGGTCATGATTGGGCTTCAGGGGTCTATACATTTCCAAACACTATCTGCAGAGTTTTATGCACAGGTGCATGTTTCTGAATTTCTCCAAAGGGTCAGTGACCTCGAAATGATTAAGAACTATCAAGTCAGCCCCTAGGGCTCATGGCTCAACAATTAACACTGTGAGGCAGGAATGCTAACATAAAGTCTAAATCAGTAGGCTTGACAGCATTCATTTCTTGATAAAATTCAAATATTACGTCTGATCTTATTTGGTCAATACTTACATCTTGGTTTTCCTGAAAAAGTACTAGATACTCTGACAGATGCTGTTTAATAAACTTTTTCATGATCTCCTGCTTGATTCTGGGGTCCAGAATATTAGCAACCAGACACGCATCTCGTAGAACATTGCTGGGTCCTCCCGGTCTCTAGAGTAAAACAAACAACATGTGCCAGGTTAAAAGCCAGAAACACCCTTTAACCCCCACGGCTTCTCACAGTCGCTACTTCGTGTATCTACATATTGTTGGTCTTACTCCTACTCCCCTGACACTCAATCTTCCTACTGTGAATGGATGTCAGTTGCTTGTTCCTCAATGAAGGAATTATTACACTAGCTTTACAGCAGCCGATATAAAACTACCCTGTGGGCTGGGCGCGGTGGCTCAAGCCTGTAATCCCAGCACTGTGGGAGGCCGAGGC